TTGGAACTTCGACGTAGATCAACGTGAAGCGACATTGGCTATCTCTGAGATCCGCGATGAACTTGCTCAGTTTAAGCATCCGATGTCATCCCATACCTACCAGACGAAGGCGATCACTTTGATCATAAACAAGCCCAATGCGAAGGAAGTTGTTGTTGGTCTTTTCATGATTTGTGTTCCACCCATAGTTCAATGTTGATCTACAGTCAGAGTTCCTATCTAGTATATGAATCAATTTATTTTTTTGGTCTAATGAAACAAACACTTTTATTATAGAAGACTTGTCTGGTCCTTGCGCAGGAACATTCCATCTGTAGCACACAAAAATCTTTTCTCAGCAACTGCATCTGAAATTTGAGTATAATCTTCTTTGAATGGAAAATTGCTTGAGAACAGTAAAGGCACTTTGTCAATTTAATACACAATACATATGCAAAAAGCAAAATACTTGAGACTTAAGAGACAAAAAGCACAAGTTCATAGATAGAACAGATCCACATTGTATCATGAAACATGTTTTGTTAAAAGTCGTTACCTGGAGAAATCCCTGAGATGAGATCAATATCTTGAAGAGAAAGTCCGTCGAAGTTCGTATCATGTTGATACTCACACTGTCACACACACGTTCTGGATGGCCAAACTACAAATGAGCCATCAACATTTGTGAATAACACAGCCGAAGTGTGAAACAGTAGAAAACTGTTCCTCGTTACAAAAGGACAATGAAAGCCATGCTTGTTCACCTGTGAGTTACTCTGATAACAACAAGATACACATTTTCTGGAGAAATGAATACAAACATATAACACAAGAACTCATGGAGATTCAAATACCAAAAGGTAAAACCTTTATCATTATATAAAATTTAAAAGGTTCGCAGGTTAACTTATGCTAATACGAAATCCAGAATTCTACCCTAGAAACCCCCAAAAAGCTCTGATTTTTATTACTCCCCTACAAATACGCTAAAGATGAGATCAACTCCGGCTCTTTCATATGTGAACATACCGCTTGAAAACGTGCTTCCCAGCCACAACCGCACCAGCCGCCATTCCTCCAAGAGCACCAGCCACAGCCGCAGATCTCACACCTCGCGCTGCCCTAAAGACAGCTCCGGTTCCTAGACCAGAGATAACGCTGGTCCAAACATCGTCCCTGTCCGTGTACGACACAACGCCACTCTCAATCCCTGCGTAGATCAACCCAACAATCCCAATCCTATTACCCCAAGCTCGACCCGTTTGACCAGACGAATTCAGGATCCTGTTGATTTTCAGCTTAAACGTGTCTCCGTATTCGAAGCTCTTGATCCCTTTGAAGACCCCAGCTGTAGCTCCGGCTACAGAACCACCGAGATAACCCGTACCTGTGTAGAACGTGAGATTCTCTCCCCATGATCGACGCTGTTTCAGGGATTCTTCCGTGAAGAGAAATTCCGGTGAAGTAGGGAGCTTGTAAAGGTACTGAGCTGAGATCGGAAGCTCGTGGTTCTGGTAAGGATTGTATAAACGGTGGTTTTTGTCGGATTCGGGATCGGAGCCGTGAAAACCCGCCATTAGAGAAAATCGGAAAAGGTTTTAGGAGTGGTGGCGACAATGAAAAGAGACGACGGAGCAAGAGAGAGGAAAAAGCTTATGATGTTGTAGAAAAGAGGGATTTTTAGGGCTCCTATGATTTTTTATGGCTAATTCGAATTTGACCCCTGATGTTTTATTTATAACAATTTAACCCAAAACCTTCCTCGTTTTTTAAGTTTTCCCAATTTCGACCCCTTTAGTTTTTAAACATTTTATAATTCTCCTCATAAATTGCAAACCCTACCATAACAACCACTTTGTAGATTAATCTTCACAAAAAAAGAGAAAAAATATATTTTATTTGGATTTGGTAATAATCTTGAAGGAGAAAAAGGCATAGTTTTTTTGGGAACAAGGCGGCGGAAGAATCGACGACGAGAGGTTCTTCTGTCACCGATAATACTCTGTTTGTGTTATACATACTCAAACGAAGCCACTAGAGACGGAGCGAAGAAGCGTAAAGATGGGAAATCAGAAGCTTAAATGGACGGCGGAGGAGGAGAACACGTTACTCGCCGGAGTTGAGAAGCACGGTCCCGGAAAGTGGAAGAATATTCTCCGGGATCCTGAATTCGCTGATCAGCTCGCTAATCGCTCCAACATCGACCTCAAGGTTTCTTATTTGCTCTTCTTCTCAATTAGCTTTTTTTTGTATGCTGTTTGTCAAAACATAGTAAACCCTAATTTATCGAACAGGAATGCAAATTCGTAATTGGGTACGTCGAAATTAAGTCACTTTGGTTTGATTCTGAATCCGGGTTGCAAAAATTTTGAATTTTTTTCTCATTGGGATAATCTTCTCCCGTTGTTTGGTTTGAGAAAAACTTTTGGGAGTTGAAGTGTGATGTGTTACTTCTTTAATCTGGGAAATGACTGCTTATGCATCAATAGACTTCAACTTTAATGGCTTTATTGATTAATATTAGAATGAAAGGTTAAAAACTTAGCTTCAAAAATGAGTTCAGTTATGTAACTTGTTTCCTGCTAATTTCTCTGATGTCCTGAGGGAAGGTCTTGATCTTACCAGAGGTCGAGCTGATTGATTTGCTATAATGGCAGTGTACGACACTAGCTAAGATAGTTATAGAAGATGAGTCCAGTTTCTGTTTTATCAAATGCAAGTAATGCTACAGTACGTTAGTCTTAACCCTAGTGTCATGGTTTAAACAACGAGAGGGTTTAAGGCAGGTGATCGGCAAACTTTTTTTTTATTTATATCTGAAAATCGAGAGACGAACACAAATTCTCAAACCTAAAGAAAGTATTGTTGAGTATGAATTTGAGGTGGAAATTACCGTCTTTATATGACTACTCAAGATTTGAAAATTACCCGGGTCTCCACTATTGGTAATCTGCTACTCTATGATCAAGAATCTTGATCACCTGATGTTTTCTAATTTTTAGGATAAATGGCGTAATCTAAGTGTTGCCCCTGGCATTCAAGGCTCAAAGGATAAAGTACGGACACCAAAAATCAAAGCTGCTGCTTTTCAGCTGGCTATCGATGCAGCTGCTGCTTTCTTAACTCCAACTCCTAGTGCTAAGTCTTTTCCAGTTGCTCCCCTTCATCGTAGTAGACCTTCTGATTTGAGCATTGATGAAACTGCACTTGATGCAAAGAATGCTCCCAGGTTTGTCTTTCTTTATTTTCTTCTTCTCTGAGCCAGCACTTAATCTTGTACTTTTTTGATTCTTAAGCGCTGTAAATTGCTACTCTACTTGCATTGTTATACTTCTGACGAGTCATTGTTATATTTAGGTATGATGGAATGATATTCGAAGCTCTTTCAGCCTTGGCTGATGATAATGGATCTGATGTCGGTGCCATTTTCAACTTCATTGAGGTTAGACATATTTTTACGTGCTCTTCACTGTGCATTTGTCATCGAGGAAACACTGAGCTATACCGTGAGCTGCTTATTCAGTAATGCTGAAAGCACATTCATGCTAATAATGAGAAGTAGAAAGACCAAACTTATCTAGGATTATGAACAATACCCAATCGTTGAACCTTTGAAAGATGAGAATTAACCATTTGTTTAGCTACTTTTGCTAATCAAAAGATGTAAGTTACCTAGTCATCTCTATTCATTGGTCTCTTCTGACAATTAGAGTTCTCATGTAAAATTTTATACTATTTAACTGTTTAATGGTTTGATCCTAGTTACTGCATAGAAGTCCACCATGATTATCTAAAATTCACAATAGCTCTATTAGGCTCAGTATCTGTTATTATTGTCGTTAGCAGCTAACTTGTAATGATCAAGTTCATGATGATGGTCTGTTTTGGGTATAGCAGCAAAGACATGAAGTGCCACCTAATTTTAGAAGGATCCTTAGTTCAAGATTGAGGAGGCTTGCTGCTCAGAACAAACTTGTAAAGGTTAGCCAATTAAAATCAGCCGTAAGTCTTGAAAGCCTTGCTCAAACAAGTGCGCATAAAGTTACCTTTATTGATCTGTGTTGTTCCTCATGCCTGCTTTTCTAATGTTTTGGTTCTTCAACAATGCAACAAAAATACACACAAACAGACACAGAACTTCTATAAGATGAATGATAATAGCTTGGGAATAAGAACACCACTTGCAGTGAGACCAAAAGAGATCAATGTGAAGCCCCGGCAGACAAGCAGTCAAGGAGCCGGTGTTTCACTGGAGAGGGTTAGCGAAGCTTCAGTAACCGCAGCTTATAAGCTCGTGGAGGTAGAGAACAAATTAGATGTGGTCAAAGGAGCTGTAGAAGAGATAGATAGGATGACAAAACTGGCAGATCAAGCTGACTTAATTCTACTGTTAGCGAAAGAGCTTCACGAAGAATGTAAGTAAATAAGAAAATGACAATATTCTTTGTGTTCTTCCATCCATCTCGAAAATCTTCCGGGACTTTTGGTGTCTGATGTTATCAGATTTGTTTTGTTGCAGGTTCTGAGGGAATGATTGTGGAATTGCCTTGAGGTTGAAAGGAACAAAAGAAGCAGCACAGAATCTTTGGAGTTTCATCAGACTCAATCGTTTTGGGTATATATACTAATAGTAATGAGCTATTAGCTTGCATTCTCTTCTTCCTTTGTTTTTATGATACCTACTTAGGAATTGTTTGAACAAATATATATAACTTTATAACTTTCTTTCATTTACCATAAAAATAGGTAGTTGAGTAATTAGCGAAACAATAAATTTATCGTGTGGTTAGAAAGGATCTTATTATTTAACTTGTTCATTGTATGCGTTTTTTTTTTTTTTGGTCAAAATTGTATGCGTTTTTTTATCAATCAGATATTAAGGTTTGGAAAATCTAAAAAGACAGTTTTAAGGTTAAGGACTTTGAACTCTTATTCTTTGCTCGTGTAGCACAACAACGTCGTTTGCAACTCTTGAGCTTCACGCAAATAAAAATCATCTGACATTATTTATACATAAACACCCTTATACTTCACTTTTCTTTCGATAAGTAGCACTGTATTTACTGACATTTCATTTTTGCCATCACTTACAAGTCCATCTATATAAAAACCCTAAAATTAAACGACGGCGGAAATCTATAATTTTAATTTTTCATTACATAGGTTTTGTTAACAAGTCAACAAAACAAAATTTTCGTTTCGTTTTGTGTCATGGATTTCAGTTTTAAAATTTTGGGAAATTAGCAAATATAACCCAAAAAAAAATTATAATTAAAAATCTGACCAAATATCCTAAATTCTATAGTTATCATTTAGCCACATTAGTCAATTTTTGTTAGTTATTAATTTTTTTTGGTTATTTGGCAAATTAACCCAAATTTCTCTACTTTGGGCCAAATCTGTACTTGTATGAAAGTTACGGGGTAAAATTTGATCCGAATAAAAGAGTGGTACTAGGGTTTAAGAATCTTTTTCAATTCAAGACAGAGATCTGAAA